AAAATGTGAAGCTAAAGGCGAGTATTATCTTAATAGAGTGTGCTTTCCGTATTTAGAAATTTTCAATCTAAGAACAGATGAAGAATTCAGACTAAAATCACAGCCAGGTCACCATAATGGTACATCAATATTAGAATTAATTCCGAATATAGATATGGTACTTGGTTTTCCATCAGATCCAATGCATTGTATTTTCTTGGGAGAAGCTAAAAAAACAGTTCTTTTATGGTGTCATGGAACATCTCGTGCTAAATTATCATCGCAACAAAAATCAATAATATCAACGTTATTAGAAGAGCAAAAATGTAACATACCATGTGAGTTTAATAGAAAACCAAGATCATTATTAGAAAGTAAAAGATGGAAAGCCACAGAATATAGGACATTTTTGTTATATACAGGGCCGGTCGTATTAAAATCTATACTAAGTCATGATAAATATTTAAATTTTATAACTTTACATATAGTTATCACTATTTTATCTAGTTTAAAGCATGTTAAACTGTATTTAGATTATGCTAAATTATTATCACGATACTACGTTGAAACATTTATTATTCTGTACGGTAAAGAAAATGCATCGCATAATACACATAATTTATCACATCTTTGTGATGACGTGAAAAAATTTGGAATATTGCAAAATTTCAGCGCTTTCCCATATGAAAATTATATGCAATCGATATTGAGAATGATACGTAAAAATGATAAACCTTTGGAGCAAATTGTTTGCCGGATAAGCGAACAAAATAATTATATAAATCCCAATTTAAACTTAATACAATGCAATAAACCTCAATTATTAAATCCGCATTTCAATGGTCCGCTTATCAATTGTCACAATTATAATCAGTTTGCTAAAGTAGTATTTGAAAAATTTTTATTAACAAATAAAGAACCAGATAATTGTTGTTGTTTGTTGGATGGAAGTATTGTAACTATTTTGAATTTTGCTTCTAATAACGAGAATATCATTGTAATTGGAAAGAAGTACAAGACACCTAAAGATTTTTATACTGAACCCTGCAAATCTTCCAAATTAAATATTTATAAAGTACGTGATCTCGGCAATTTACAGACTTGGAATTTGAATCAAATCGCGAATAAATGTGTTAGATTAAAATACAAGGAGACGTACATTATTTTTCCACTTTTACATGCACAATCATAGATAACAAAAGCCTTTGCTTTAGTAATATTTGTCTTCTAAACTTAAGTAATATTAAATCCTTTTTCTTTTGCTACTGTAAATTTTAATATTTTTCATGGTTAATGCTTAACATGGTACATCAAAAGACGCATTAGTTTTTCGTAGAACTATTTTTACAATTTGTGACAGAAAGTTGCGCTTTACTTTTTATATTTGTCTAGAAATGGAGAAACCGACGTGGACAATTGTACAGTTTTCTGAAGATAATACCGTTGAAGCGGTACCATCAAATTGGATACAACACAATAAGTGTTACTGGCCTCCATTTAAAAATGAGAAAGTTATCGCAGCAATAAGGAAAAATGCAGAACGTAATACATGTTGGCCATGTTACGATATCATCACATTTCGGAATAGCACGTACGGTTAGTAATATTTCACTTAAAAAATAAATGTTTAATATTAATTTCCTACAAATAAAGTAATGTACATATCTGTACCTTAGAGATAGAGGATTGTATTTCCAGTTTTCATTAAAATAGAGTTAATATATTTTTCAATATACTACGAGCTTAAATTGTGTAACAATAAAAGGTCTTATGTCTATTATTACTAGTTTAATGTAATAAGTAAATAAAATAACTAGTTTCTAAGATACAATGTTTAGCAAAAATCGTATTAAAAATTTTTATAGTGCCTTAACTTTGGCCAAGTGTTATTGACAGGTGTACTATTACACATGTAAGTTAAATTACTTTAAAAGTTAATTAAAAAATTATTTTATTAAGAATTCAATAAGTCAAGTTAATTCTTTTATTTTATATCTAAAAAAATTTACTATTGTCCTATTTAAAACTTTGAATCTTGATTTCTCTCTGAATTGATAATAATGGAGATACGATTCTTTACAGTTTCTAAGATACAGGGGGTCGATTATGTATCTTAAACAAAGTAAAAATTACAAAAGTGAGGAAACTCACTGGAGTACGATTTTATTGGTCGAAATCTAGTAAATCTGTTCACTTTTTGCATTTTTATCTTCAATCACTCTGTGATTGGTTCATAACATCTTCATAAAATCTAACTTAAGGCGGACTTCAAAATAAGTTCCGACTATGAATACGGGCCTATGATTAATGGCCTCTTTGTTCCACTCTTGCACTGTTATATTTTCTTAGCTGTATCGTCGTGACGTCGTTTTCATTACGTAACTATGATCGACGTGTGCCTGTGTTTCTTCGTCTTCGTCAAGGTAGATGCATGATAGTGAGCAGACTATCGTCTTCCAGGACCTGGGTAAGAAAACAGATTATCTTGCGGTCTGCACGTAAGGAAATATAGATGGAAAATAAATTTCCACGCCACAGCATAACTTAGTTTCTTCGACAGCCCGGAGGAGTCCGCGGAATTGTCCTAGTTTCTGCGGATGATGCTCTTTTTTTGTTTTTGGTTGTTGTGGTCCACCATAAGGTAGACGCGGTAGAAGTTAATGTCCGAATTCATCCGTGTCAGCATCCTGTTGTCGATCTGCATTGGGAACAACGTGTGCGGACGAGCTTTGTCTCTCTTCTCCGTCGTTGTCGTCGTTTAATTCCGAGAGAACGCGAGCATGTCGAGCGTTGCACAGCGTTTTCACGAGCTTGTTAACGCGACGTCATCGTCGGAGTCTTCCGTCAATCGTTATATAAACACACGTCGTCGCTGGTTTTTTCTCTTTCCACTGGTACGTCCCTGAACGCGGTAACTTCTTCAGTGCGATCTGTTGACTCAGTTATAGCTTATTCAAACTAGGATAACATGTGGTTTGTTCGACTTGACAATTTGACGTTTCCGAAGCATGTTGTAGCCGTTGTGCCCATCCATCCTGATAATTATTATTACACTGTTAATCCGCCGTCGTTATGCCTGTTTTTGCACTTTGTGTCACGGGCGAGCGATGTCTCAAAGTAAATACAGCAACGCAGGGCTTCACTGGGCATCACCCATTTAACATAACTAAAAGTATACATATAGTGTGTCACTTGGGTTATGTTAAGGAGTGCGCTATCAGCGCTATTGTGTCACTCTATTGTTCATTAGACGTAAAACAAGGATAGAATGACTCAGTAGCGTTGATAGCGCGCTTCCTGAACGCAGATGTCTCCTTTTGATGTCACTTCTTTTCTATGTTTTATATACATGTATTAGATACATATACATATATGTATGTATATATAGCTACTGTTTGTTATAATTTAGATGACTATAATACAGCAAGACGGAAAACAAAAAAGGCCGAAGACACATCGGATTTAAATTCATCAGAGGTGGACACAAAAAGAAAGCGGATAAAAAATCGACTATACGAAAATGAAACCGATGATGAACAGTGTAATATCGCAAGAGCCCTAACAAAACAAAATAAAATAATACAATCTTCAAGTGAAGAGTCAGATGAGTCTGACACCGTTCTCCCAAAACATTCGCAAATGACAGGTACATTAATTAAAATAACCAGTATATCAATTCAAAATTTCCATTTATTTAACTAATAGTGAATTCGGGCGCTTGCACTGGTGCACACTGAGTACGCACTGATTTTCTCAGTTACATGACTTTCTCCGTGTTTTTCTTTTACATATATATATATACACACACACACACACACACACACACACACACACAAATAATAAATTAAGATTACATATGATTATATTATACATGTACGTACATATATGTATAATATAATATATCATGTGTAATCGTACATGTACATATTATGTATAATATAATCATATGTAATCTTAATTTATTATGCCTGACACAGATCCAAGTTCTTAATTTAATTATTGACGTATATTTAAAATGTAATGACTTTGACCTCCGTAAAAATTGTTTCAACGCTGTAATTGTGACTTTTGAATTGTTTATTATTATTTTATGTCGTAATTTGCTCTGAAGAAGACCAAGTATGGTTAAAACGTTAGTCTACGGCAATTCTGAATAAATGAATTGCTCAAATTAAGAATTTGTTATTTTTATTTGTAACACCCGATAAATGCTTGATTTCTGGTCGGTTTTATTTTTTTCTTACTAGCTTTTGCTTTCATTGAGCAGATAAATTAATTTTTTATTGTATTTTATTTTATGTACATTAATATTTCATGGGAGACACATGGTGTTTATTATTATTTTTATTGTTGTTATAATATAGTAGAAAAAATACTTATCTATGTTTTATATATCTGACTTATTAGATGCGTTGAAAACTGCAGGCCAGATTGCTATGCAGAAGGATAATAATAATTGTGTCAATCCAGAAATAGAAAATAATTCTTTCTTGACTAATTCCATGAGATGCACATGTCAATTGTGTCCAGCACATGCTCAGATGCAGAATAAAAACGGTATATATTTTATTTTTAGTTCATCGTGTATAATGTGTTTGTATAACATTACTAATAATGGAATAAATTATTACTAATAATTATTGGTTTTTCAGAGAAATATTTTAAACAGATAATTCGCCAACAAAATTATTTTAAGACTCAATTGTGGCAAACGGTTGAGGATATACAAGACATCAAAAATACTGGATTAAATCCAGCTCCTAATAATGACGTTCAAAAACAGGAATCAGTTTTCTGTTTTTTTACGCTTCCATTGGAAACGGAACAACAATTACAAGAAGTTGAGCAGTATTTGACAAACCAGAACAATTTTAAGGCATCGGTAATAACATTATTGTTTTACATTTTAATCTTTTAAGTATAAATATTTTATTTTACTGTATTTGCAATTATATACATGTAAATATTTGTAATTATTTACTATACATCTTTGATAACACTACAGTATATATATATATATATATATATACAATATACATGTAATATATCAAAATGATGACTAATCAGCTTGCTATCTGGGTATAGGTATAGGTCACAGCAGCTGATCGTGATTTATGGGATATATATAATATTAAATTTTTATATTGTTTTATAATTTTGATTTTTAATTAAATATAAAATTTTATGACTAAAGCGCACTAAATATTATTTTAAAATTTTGTTTTATTTTTAAATAGTAATAAGTTAATGTATTATAATACTTTGGTGTATTTGTAAAAGATTTCTCTGAAATATTTAAACATATGATTTTGTTACTTTATTTTTATCAATAATATCATTTAAAATGCAATTTACATAAGCACAAAAATTCAGTCTTAGTTTTACAAACAATCAAAACTTTAAAACTTCTTCTAAATTAAAAATTTTTATATATAAAAGTTTGTGAAGTATGTATTATATAAAACTCAAATATTGAATTAACACAAATGTATTGAAGGTTACACAAGCATCTCGTACTGGTGGCAAACATTCCTACGAATTTATGAAACGAAACTTGAGCCAACTCCTAAGTAATAAGTTGGCAGAAGAATACAGTTGGTTGGGAAAAAAAAAAAAACAAAAGTTTCATGAACTAAAATTGGCGAATATGTTAATTGGTAAGCGATGAGTATTGTTTGAATAATTAATTTAAAAATTATAATAAGTTTCTACGTTTTTTTGTCATTTTTCTAGGTTTCCGGATTATCGTCGTATTTTGAGTTGCTTATTCACTTGCCGTTTCGTAAAAATTGTTTGTTTTATTAAATCTGGTAAGCTCTCTGAGGACGGTATTTATAGTTCGATATATTTAAGATTGTCTTAAGTCTGGTTTCTGATGATCTTTACAGTT